GCGATTTCGGAAAGCTATATATAGTTTGTGGTGCACACTTCTGTCCGGAGGCGAGGGCCTACTGAACTGCGAAGACGTGGCACGCTGCCTCCGCCGACCGGATCCACCTTCGGAGCCCCAAGAGGCCGGGGCGCGGGGTGAGCGAGCGTTTGACTCCGCGACAACATCGCACAGCGCCTGCACCTGCGCCAGCCCAAGCGCTACGACCTGGCTCAGAAGCAGGGACTGGCGGACTTCCTGAAAGATGCGGACATCCGGCTTGTGCGCACCCCAAGCTACGAGGTTGAACTCTGCAAAGGTCTGCAGCCATCCGATCTTGCCTGTTGTGCGTGTTAATCAACATGTGACGGATCACACCACAGCAAGTTTTGCTGTCCTGTGTGAAGCAATGAAGCTTCCTGCCCAGGTGCGAGCCGACTTCATTCTGAAGCTGCACCGGGAAGGACAGCGTCTCCCGCGGCGCCAGGAAGCGGAGTCCGCCTACGTGGACGGCCGCACGGCGCTTGTGACACACGAGGAGGCGCGATATGCCTTTGCACTAATGACCCTGGTCAAAGATGTGCCGGCCCGAAGTCTCCCTCTGCTTTTGTCATCTTTCCGAGGTGCAAGTCTGGGCCGACGGCAAGGCGCCTGACGGCACCCAGGTAATCTCATTGTCACACTGCTGGGAGTCGAGGGAGCACTGTGACCCCTACGGATACCAGGTGTCCAAGCTAGCCAAGGCTCTTAATGGAGAGGAGTGGGTGTTCATCGATTACGTATCTCTGTATCAGTTCCAGCGACTCTCCCAGCAGCAGAACCTCAGCTTCCGGCGCGCGATGCAGCACATGCATGTGCTGTACTGCCACGACGAGACAACCACCCTCCGAATTGAGTCACTGACACCGGAAGCAGACATAGCCGAAGCCGAGACAAACCAAGACTCTGTGATAGTGTATCACCACCCAACCGGCCTGGTAAAACCAGTGCCGGTCTCTGAATTGGTCGAGAACCGCACCAAGTACGGGGAGCGAGGTTGGTGTGTTGCTGAG